ACCATTAACTTTGAACAAAAAAGAGGAGCGAACGATGCACGCGACGCGGGACTGAGTGTATTAAAACAAGCCGAGCGACGCTGAATATTATACGCAGTTTTTTGCTTCGAACGTTTGTTCTTTTACAGCAGATCGCTAACGTAACTTTTTGCTTTATTCTGAGATATTCTCGATTCGATTCGAACATTCCTTTCGTTATATTATCAAATTTACTTTTTCGTTTTATTGAATATAATAGTCTCGCAGAAATAACACGCGTTGTACAGGAAAAATATCGCATGGTGGAAGAACGCGTCGTCGATAATTACCCGTTAATTAACCGAGACCTCGTGTATATATTTTGCTCGTAATGAACTCGAGCCACGACGATATACCAGCCCATAAAGACAAACGTGCAATTGAGGCAGCGTTCGCGGTTTGCCAGCTACGTTTGAACACCAGCGAACCGAGCGGATCCTGTCTAGGTCAGGGTGGAGTTTGAAGAGCTCCTTGAAGCCACCGGCCGCAACGCTATGCACTCGAAGAAGCAACTTCCAAATCTCGAGTGACATCCTTGCCGCGGCGGCCACTCGAATGCGCGGTCCATAATTAAGGCTACGAGATAACGAAGATATCGTGAAGAACTGGCATAGCGGTAGAGGTGGCGACACACCTCTCGTACGTACGTGCCTTCCGCGAGGAGACAGAATGACGAGCTTTAAATGGACGAGGATGAGGCGATCAAAAGAACTTTACAACCTGAGACTGAATGCAACGGATTTCAAGAACGTCTACTTAACGTTTTACGCCGTCGCGACGAGTTGAAAAAATAACCTCGCATCTGGAAATTTTGTATCGAAGATAAGTATGTAATTTCATTTTTTAATTAATCCAAACGTAGAAGAGTACGATATAATTTTATTTTTCTCTAAACGTTACGATTGCACTGGAACAGCTATCTGTTTATCATTTGATCGGCAAAAAAACAACAACGGCGACGCGTTCTATCGCCGTTTTTATTACCTTTATCGCTGCTGCACTATTATTCATGCAAGCCAGAGGTCCATTCTCGCATTGATCGTTGCAGATGTATCGCGTTCGCATGAATTTTGTTGAAGCGCATATAGTCTCGCGCGCCTTGCACAGGTCATCCTTCAAACTTCTTTCAGCGTGTCCCGTTTTTGTTGTATCCCTCATGCATATTTCACAACGCGAATAGAGGGGATGCTAGTCTCCGTTTCCGCTTTATTTCAGTTCACCCGCAGGCCAGTCACTCTCCTTGTAGTTAACGCAACCGAACTCGTAAATCTCCATTCTCTCTGCCGCGATTTCTTGCATGTATGGATTCAGATATCGGTATTCCAGGTCCTGTTCGTACGTGATCCATTTTTCCTTGGGCAGACACGTTCGCAGAAAGTCCGTTTGCATCGCCCGTATGATCCTGGAAATTCCAGAATCCCGTCCGCCCGAGGGTTACATAGTTTCGAAGGAACCCGTCACGAGCAAAATATGCATGTCAACGAATATTCTCGCGGCGACGCGATACCAGAAATTCGTCGACAAAATTACCGAGGATTAACGAAGGATTGACAAGCATATTTCTGGGGATACCTAAAATTTCTTGCGTCCAATACGTTCTTCGGGAGTCGACGAAGAGCCGCCTTCACCAACGGGTCGTCGTGGTCGAACACGTCGTGTGTGTAGAGTCCGTACCTGTTATAACCGGACCAATTGAACAAAAATTTCCTAATTTTGTAACCATAGTTCGACCGTTGACTATCTCCACTCGGTCCACAGCTAGATGCACGCTTGGGTATTCGTAGTATCGTGGATACTCTCGACATCGCGACAAATTGAAACGTCGAAGGTAACCTTTGAGAAAGCTGACACGTGTCGTTGGGAAATCGATCGTCAGATGTCTTAATCGCTAGATGTATAAAGGATAATATAGTTGTTTCGTCTTCAAGTTAAAGCGCGTAAGTGAAATGTCATAGCGTTGGAAGTAGACGAACACATTGCTCGAATAGACATTATAGACTATTAAAAAATGCATTCGTTCAATCAAAGACGGTAGTTTATGTAGCTATCGACTGTGATCGAACTTTCGAACCAATAATTACGAGTTCCTGATCAAACTTTTCTAACTTTCAACGATGAACGATTTTCATGGATCGATTCCATCGTGATTCCGCGTAGGAGATTTCCGTAATCGAGGGAAAGATTTCGCAAACCGGTTGACTTTAGAGCGTGAAACGACTCCTCCGGCGCGCGACCCCAATTCGGAAAGAACTTCTAAAGAGTTTCGCATACCATTACGAGACAATGCTCCGCAGGACCAGCAAACACGTCTGCGCTCCTCCTTCTTGTGCAGTGGCTTCGCTCGTTCTTCCCTTACGTCATTACTCTAGGGCCATTCTAATATTGAGCAAACACCGGAATGGCTCCAGCAATGGCGTCACTAGAGACAGTGTCACCCACGAAGTAACCTCGAAGACTCCGATTTTTCTTTGACATTTCATATTTTTAGGGGACTATTTTTAGGACAATTCTTTGTTTTTCCTACTGTTTCGACTTACCAAAATAATAAAATAACAAATTTTATAGTCATTTATAGTAATTTCAGTACCTTCGCTTCCAATGGTGCCACACCGTGCAGCAGCCATCTAGCGACGTCATTGGACTCGAGTAGGTTGCTCGTCGCCGAGCAGAAAAATTATTCGTCGATCAACTTTCGTAAACTTTTCGCGCGATCGCCTCCCGAACAAGCTAACTCTGTTTAAAATTCAGCATCCGGTGTCTTGTTAGTTCGGAGATACGTCTATTACTCTGTAAACTCTTCCCATTTCTTTTAAGGCACGACGAAGACCGTGCGAGAAACTATGACAGTTTGTGCCTGAAATGAACTTGTCTTTTCTAGTAGGCAACGAGGTAGGATAGCAATCTTGAGCTTATAGAGCGGAGCCAGGCACGATAATCCACGTTAGAAACCGAAACTTCAATGTTTGCTTCGTATCGTTTCCCATCATCATCCGATGGCTGGTTCGCTGGCATTTAATTTCGCCTCCATCGCTTCGATTGATCCTCGTTAAGACGTCTATGTGGCGAAGGGGTAAAAGGAATTGTCTCAACATTTTTATCTATCGTTCTCGATATTTGAGTATACTTACTTTCTTCGCCCCAGCCTTGTAGGTAATTGTATGTAAAAGGTTTTTAAGCGCACTTCCCCTACGGTTCCAGTATTCTCTTTGGTAGATCGACTCTGCATACATTTACAGAGATGCGTTACACGTGGTCGGTGATGTAGGGAGGAATACGATTTATGTCAGTGGTTCCGTTGGTAACGTGCCACCGGCAGAGGGTGACCACCCCTTCGTCGTTCGCCGTGCTACGCAAGTTTCCGTTTCTATTCCGGTCCGTCCATGAACATCACGCGTACACGCGTGTTTCACCCATTTCGCATAGAAAATGTAACCTTTCCCCTGAACTCTAATTAATTCACCCCAAAACACCGTTCTTTACCTAGTCTCTTTGGCAATTTCACTTCCCTAGGTAAAATGATGCGCGAGAGGAAAAATTAAATGAATTGTTTTAAACTTAAAATTGTTGGTTCTCCGGTACCTTGAATGTTCTACGACAAGGCTGGTAGCTTGTTTCCATTCGCCAAACATCTATCGCATGTTCCCCCACGTAATTCATACACGTCAGCCGTAACATGCATAGGTCATTCCACGCCAAATCGATCACTTTTTGCAGACGGTGTCGAGGATTTTGTTGAAATTGAAATTGAAGTGAAATTATGATGTGTATTCGAAGTTTGCCGGTTTTTAATCGGGTGAACTTGCTCACTTTAATTTTGTTCCGGTTGTCAGTCAATGATCTAGAATTTCGAAATGCATAGAACGGGAAAACCCGACATTGCACGCTGGATCGTGCTACGTGAAATTAAACGATTTCCGTTTTTCGTCGAGAATCGACTCGAAAGGGAAAGAGATCGGTGCTTCGGCTTTTACGAGCTGCAGTATCTTTCGCGTCTTGATTTTTCCTCGGTCGACGAGCGAAGTAATTCGGGTGCACCGCACGATGCTCCTTCGAGTAGACACTGTGATCGAGGGACCCGACTCTTCGAGCTCCATTCGACGGAGTTACGGCCACGGCTGCGGACGAATAAAGCGCAAAAAGCGGATAATCCGTGAGAAATAATTCGCGTTGAAGGAAACGAAACAAATATCGTGTTCCCTCCCAGAATTTTCGATCGATCAGAGAGCATTATCGGTGCTATTTCTCCGTTGTTTCGTCGAAATGCTGTCGTTTTTCTTGTCGTATTTCTTGTCTGATTGCAGCGAGAGAAAAATGTTACAGGAATTCGAGAAATCGCTCAGTACGAGGGAAGAACGAGGTAGCAGACTTTGCGACGGGAACGTTCACGAATCGCTAATCGTGCCAATTACATGAAATCCAATATTTGAGATATTAATCAATTACGTTTAATCGAATCTTTTAAAAATTCCAACCAATTAATTTTAATAAGCCGAAGTTTCGGACATATATTTATGGAAACAGGACGATAGTAATGGGTAACGGATTTGCTCGTTAATTATACATTGTTCATCGAATCGCTATTAAGGAATACAGGAGTAGACTATGAATTAACCACTACTACTCTGATCGTTGCTCGGAGGCCTAACTATCGTTTATGTATTCAGTTGTGCACGATTCATTACTCTGTGTTCGTCATCAATCGTAATATCCTTTAATGATGGTCAGATTAGCGACCATGCGACTTACTTATCGATCCATCCGTTTTATTGCCACTGATATTTCGCTAACTAATTTTTCGCCAACTAGTTTCCCGAGAAATCTGACTGAGCGCGCGACGCTTCTTGTATGAATCGATAAAATCTCTTTTTTTTTTCGCACACAATTCGATCCTTCGCGATTCATTCCCGACGAAAGTATCCCTCGAGTTTCCTTGGTTTTATTTCAAAACCGTCTCTGTTCTCGTGATAGCTTAAGCTCGACAGTTTTCCTCGGTTCTTCGCCTCTTTTTATACATGTCCAGTTCGTCGATCCCCCCGACAGTTTACTTATCCGAACGAGATTAAGACAACACAAACGTCGATGAAACATCCAACTCCACCGTTCGCGTATTTTATTTCAGTAAAACATTAGGTAAGATGAAACAAAACTGTTACAAGCTAAATATACATATAGCGTTCTTCATTTATACCGAATTACCTATGAATTAAAATAACGTAATACATTTGTAACGTGCCATTAATTTTATCTAAACTTAAGAGGAGATCACGATCTTCCCGTGTTAGAATTTTCAGACAAATTGCCCAGCCCGACTGCCTTGTGCATACCAGATACTCCAGACTCTATGTTTCCCTTGACGTCGCGTAGCAAGCTCCTAGCATGCTCGAGTAAATTTCTCGGAGATCTAGAGTCTGTCTGCTGATTCACATTAGAACTCGTAGGCTTCAATGCCAGTCTGTTCATCACGAAGTCAACTAGCTTCCTGACGGGTTGCCCAGGTAAGCCAAATCCGAGATTCTCGAAACGTCGGTTTCGTATCAGGTCCAGCATCTGTGAGAAGCCACTCAGTTCATATTTTAAATATCGTGATCTTAGTATCGCCTACGTAATACGTACCGGAAGCTGTTCGTCGGATTGTGATCTATAGCTGTCAGATCGATCTTTCGCGTTTCTTTCCCCTGATAAACCGTGGCAAGGTTTCAATGAGTTAACCTCAGTGTTGGCCTCTTGCTCGCGTGAATTGATCGCCGAGTGTTGATCCTCGTAACGATCCACTGGAGAAGTCACGAACGAAGAATCGGTTCGTGGATCGGGGCTAGGTTTGTCGTTCGGATTGGACGGTTCAACGGAATCAGAAGCACGTGCATTGTGTCGAGCCTCGTCTTCTTTCGTTTCTAACGCGGTCACCGATCGCCGATTTAATACGTGAGAGCCCAAAGGGCTGTCTTCGGTACCGTTCTCCATCGAACCGGTAATGTCTGAATCAGGGCGGTGGACCAGTGGTCGTACATCGCCTAAATCTTCGTTCGAGGCGTCGAGCGTCTCGCCACGTCCGGATATTTGCTCGTTCCACGGTACAATGGGTTTCTGAAATAGTTCGGACGTTCAAATATCTACTCGTTTCTCCAGTTGTTAACCGGAAACTCGTGGTATGCATTTTCCTTCATCTTTATACAATCGCGAGTTGAGATTTATTAAACCAGAAGACAAACTGAACCAGTCGTATGTTTCCAATAAATTTAGAATGTAAAATGATCCTTCGAATATATCTCTATTTCCTTACGCAAAGAAGATACGAATGGAAAACAGCATGCAGAAATAATTAACGCTCTTTGTCGCAAGAAAGACGTCTTACCTGGTGGAACTTCGCCCGAAGAAGTCGCAGAAGTTTGTCAAAGGAATAGCTGATAGTTTCGTCCTTAGGCGTAATTACACGCCTATGGGGAAACGAGTTCTCCTGACTCGATTCCAAGTCCAAGGAATTTCCGTTGGCGCCATCAAGGAACGTCTGTTCGTCGCAGTAGATCGTTGGGAACGAGCAGATGGAATAACACGTAACTAGAAGAAGCACTCGGGATATCGCGAACTCCATGTTAATCTTAGATTGGTACTCTCGATCGATACGAATCGAATGCACCGATGTACGAAATCGTTGTTATATAGCCACACCTCGTGACATGTGTTCGAGAAGATTTATCGTTCCAACGATAAAATATCGTTGAAAGTTGCAATTAGCTACTACCTGCGGCACGATCGTCGGCTAATTGGTGTTTGCACAGTCTGGCAGTGTCCTGATCACGATCACAGAACGCGTACGAGATCGTTTGAGGAAGTTGATGGATACATGGAATTTTAGGGAATTGACAATCGTCGACGGACTAGTTAAACACAGGTGGTCCTGTCCGTTAAATTAAGTGACATCTCGAGGACGCTTCGAGAGGAAATGCCTATTAGAATTTCACATCCGATCGAGACTCGTCGAATCATGTTCGAAACGATTCAACTCTGACGTTCTATCCAGCCTCGAGCCCCGTCACCGTTCAGAACTCTCAGCAGTTGATGCTAGAATTCGCTAGTTTGAAAATATTTTCTCGTCGTTCCGTACGAAATTTTCTTACAACGACAGCAGGATTTCTGGAAAAACGAGCATCGGTTTTACTGTCGAGCGAGGCACGCGTCCGTATCGACGGGAAGGATATAAGTTTGCAGAAACGAAGGCGAAACTTCCTCGAACTATCGTCGTTTTTCACGCAACTTTTCTGCTACCTCTTTCGCGGGAGCCGGGGCATTCGTAAAATTTTCGCCGAAACTTTATCGTTTCCCGATCATAACGCGACGTACGTGTCCTCGATCCTTGGGCCTTCCCGCGATGAACTGAAACGGCTGCAGTTTGAAACACGCTGAGCGCAGTGATTCTTATAATTTTTAAATCACGGTGACGTACACCTGTAAGAGTTCGAGTAACTTTGAAATAATCGAACTTTTTGCGGTGAAAATCAACCGAATCTATCTTTCGAAATACGAACGTCTTATCTAAATGAGAATTTTGTCCGATCATAACCGTGAAAACAGATACCTCCGCCTCGCGTCAGACTCTTCCGATCTTTTCAATCAGAGCCCCTTGTGGGTCGTAATTGGCACTTTTTTGCGAAGGCAAGGGAAGCTTGCGCTCGTCCACGGCGAAAGCAACGTTACTAGCGGGGCCCCTGGTCCTTTGCTGGCCATCACGTACAACCGCCAGGATCAGTCGTTCATTCAGACAAGCTAATTGTGAACGAACCGTAACACGTCGCGTGCCGTGTTGCATTTTCATGCCCCGCCGGCTGGAGTTCCTTTACCCTGGGCGTCTTTCGTCGTGAAAAGAGCGGAGCACAAAGGAGTCCTCTGCTGTGCGGAAATCCACAAGAATGGGAGCACGACTCGTTCGTTTTTTCGCGCAATATTGCGTCGGCTCCCATCGATAACAATTCCCCTAGCATTTGCATTTAATGGTTACGAAGAAAGGGTATCGAATAATTTTCTATAAATCTCGCGTATCAAATACGGTTTATACCAGAAATCGCGCCGTCACGTTCCTGTTATTAATTATGTATCTTTACCGTTTATAAATTAAACATCAGCAAACGGTATATATTAAATTTCTATTTGAATATACAAACCGGCTTACCGATTCAAATTTCATAAAATGTTTCATAAATCTCATTTTGTGCTTTTTCGAACCTCTCTATTTATTTACCTGACATTTTTTTATATCGATGTTCGACGAATGTACGTTTTCACCAACAAGGATTCTATTTATCTTGCGAAAATATCAGCGGTCTGAATCCAGTATTTGAGGAGATTCGAATGTTTTTGCTACTCTCTGTAGCACTAATTGCACTTGCGAGGAATTTAGGAAGCGAACCATCCCGCCCCTGGTTTATGTGAAAGCACCTGCATTTCGCGAACAATAAAAGCATCTAAGAGAAGCGTTTCGTGCCGCTGGGCAAATGGAAATGTAATCGGAAGTTTCAAGCTGTATGTGTTCACAGCGTCGCGATATTTCGGCCAGCAATTACAGCGACCGGAAATGGGACAGGAGCCATCGTGTGCCCAATGAAGCGTGCTGGCAAATCGATGTTAGTTTCGGTAAATTCGATTCACCCGTCGCTTCCTATGCATCAAGACATTTCAAAATAAATGGAAGACCAATTGAAACCGTTCGATATTCTCGTTTGATATTACGTTTAAGTTATTTGGTTATTCTGAGAAGAATTTTGAAAGGAAGGGAATGGGAAGAACCTTTCGTAGAGTTAAAAGAGACATTTATTATTCTTGTTCAACAAAACTATAGAAACATTGTGCTTTATACTCCTCTTGGTAAGTAGCATCGTTGAGTGATTGTCGACAATTAGACAGACTCTTGCGCTTTTCGGTATTCAAAGACGCTTCCACGTTCGATGAATCCTTGGGGATTTCTTTGCGCTAACGGAACCTTTACACCTGGCGGGCCGTAGCCACCACCGCCAGGAGTCTCTAGGATAAATGTATCCTATGGACAGACAGATATAATTTGTTAAATTTGTAAGCGGACTTGTTCACCCTTAGCTCTTTCCTTTAAATAATTTCAAATTATCGACTATCGGTCAGTTGCCGTTTGGCCTGGCATTTCCAGCAAAACGGTGAAAGGACGAAGTTATCCTGGCGTGGTCCTTACCCCTGGATACACTGGTACAGCAGTTTTCGGACCCAAATTGATTTTCCGACCGTCAGCTCTTCTCAAAGTGTTTCGTCCACATTGTCCAGCCGATCCTCCCGCTAAACCTGGTGGACTGTGCACCCTTCTTTCCGTTAACACAGACAGCGTCATGGGAGCCCTACAATAAAGACATATAGTCTTATAGTAAAAACACTCTTTACTAGATAACAAAGACCATAGCGTTGCAGCCGGAAGGCGCTCCCGGAGCTGGAAGCGTGGGCGGGCGGTCAAACGTGTTAATTTTTAATCAAAATAAAATCTTTGAGTGCAACCCTGAAATTTTGCGTAGTTATAGTTTTTAACTGTAGAAATCGCGTAAAGCTATTGAAGTCTAGGTTCGCCTTCGGACTGAAACGCTATGCTCTTTGTTATCTAGTAAGGAGTGTTTTTAGATACAAATTTTCGCTCCACCTTATCATTCCTGGGTTTTCGTAGCCAGCTCTCCGTCTAATAGTATCGATGTGCAATTACGAGTCGTTCTACGCAGTTTCATAATAGTCGTTTAATTACCTGAAAGTTGTTTCACGGATGACACCATCGCCACCACGGTGAGCACCAGCCCCACCACTTCCTGGACGAAGGGAAAATTTATCGAGAATAACCGGATATCGAAGTTCCAGTATCTCTGGATCGGTGATCCTCGTGTTGGTCATGTGCGTATGTACTCCTCCTCTGCCGTCCCACGTTGGACCCTTTTTAATTCCGTGGGCAATAATTTTTTTAGTACGATTATGAAATTGGATACAGAAAACAAAATTAGCGCATATCAAGGAGACATCTCACAGCTCCACTGCCGCCAGCGACAGTTTCGTAGTATCCCCATTCTTCGGTGCCCAGTGTCACGTTGTTCATGCAACCCTGGGACGCAGCACAGGCTCCGAAAGCTTGCAAAACAACGTCAACGACACGTTGAGAAGTGAGGACGTTGCCACCGACCACCGCGGCGTCTTCCGACGGATCCAGGAGAGATCCCTTGGGTATAACTATCTCGACGGGCTTCAAACAACCCTAACGGTAGGCAAAAATTACGCAGAAAGTTAAACAACAGTCGTACACGAACCTGGATTTTCTAGAAAATTTCTGATCTACCTGGTTCAGAGGAACGTCTCGGCCAACGATTGACCTCAGACAGTAAATCAACGCTGAAAGAGTGATGGCGCGAGGTGCGTTACAGTTGCCCCACACTTCGTATCCGGTACCACTTCGGTATCAATACTTCGTTAAAATTGCAGTCTTTTTCTAGCTAATTACCTGCGCGAAACAATTAAAGGATTTCTTACGTGAAGTCACAGAGCGCCTCGCCTTTCTCGATGTCGATGCTTAAAGCAAATTTAATCGGGCTTCCATCATCCAGATAGTCCACTGCGGTTGCTCTGGTACTTCCGGTTTCTGCAAGAAGCTTCCTCCCGACTGATTTCAGCATGTCCCTCACCGCGACTTCTGCATTGCGTTGAATGTGACCCATGTACGCTTGGACGACTTCGAGACTGTATATATCGATCAATTCGTTCACCAACAGCGAACCCTGTATACAAAATTGAAAAATTTGTAGGAAAACGAAAATTCGTTGCTGTTAGAGAGGACGTTGGTACCGTATAATTACTTTGTGATTAGCTGCAATCTGAGCTTTCAAATCGCTGAGATTGTCAGACAAATTCCTGGTCCCGGAGCTTCCCGGAATCAATCCTGGAGCCATTAGTTCTTCCGTCAGTTCTTTTTCGCGTAATACGCCCTTGTGTACCAATAGAAAACTCTTGAAAGTCGCTCCTTCCTGTAAGAAAGTATGATCTGTTTATGAAGACTGGTTTAAATTTTATGAAGTCGAGGACACGTTCAATGTTTCCTCACCTGAAGCAACATTGTTGAATGTGGTGGCATAGAACCAGGCGTTATGCCTCCTATATCCGCATGATGGCCTCTGCTGGCCACGAAAAAAACTGGTTTCTCCACGTCTCTGCAAAAATGTGTATTTAAAATTTGTATGCATAATAATTTTAACCGAGAAAGAAACAGCGAGCTGAATTATTATTATATAAAAAATTATTTTCAGAAAACTCGTCTTCTGCATATTGCTTATAGTGAGATTTTAGCCTAAGTAGTGCTTTCATGCGGCCATAGATAACAGAGATATTCAGGTGTTCCCATTTAATTTCCCCACCCTGAACATGCTAGAATGGAAGCGGGTGGTCAGTGAACGGAAACCTTTCCTAGTGAATGTACACCTCCACTAAAGTAATCAGTGTATGTGCATTACACGGTATTATTTGCTCACATTCACTGGTGAAACGGTACCTCCGCTTCTCATCGTTAGCGAACGTTCTAGAATATGAACACCGACGCGCAGCCGCGGTTTATCCGTTA